AGCTTAATTGCTTATAGAAATATAAAACATACACACTAGATTCTTGTAATTACTTAAAATATTTTTGGCACTGTAATTTGCTCTAAGTTAAATCAGTTTTTTTATATGTATAAATTTTTAAAAAGCATTGCAGAAAAATTCTAAAATAATTCTGAAAACCAAATTTCCATACTTTCCACCTTAAATTACCTACTGGTACTGGTATCTACTACCAGGAAAAACCAAAGTTTCACATGAAAAATACTTGTCCACATTCTTACCCATTCTTGGCCATGGATGTAATGAAACAATCAGCCCTTCTAACTTTCACAGCATAAACTTAAAAAGCACAGGGTGTAAGAGACTAAATTTCATGAAATGCCATCAAAATATCTCCCCTTCTGACATCATTATCAGCATGCTGCAGAGACTACTATATGTAGCCTCTTTTGAAGTTATAACTTATAATTTTCACAATTTCTAACTAGGGCTCCCTATAATCCTTATTCAGTTGTCAGGCATTAGAAAAACCAAGTGTTTTCTTTCTTTCGTGGTCATTACTTGGTCTTGAAATCATTCAGCAACAATTTCTCTCATGTTGTGCCTTTCACTCTGTCAAAGAAATCAGTAACAAAAACAAATCCCCGAATCCAAAAGTTGGGCCAGGTTATGAAGGGAAAAAAGCAGAAATTAAAGCCAGTAACAAAATTACCACAAAACCACAGCAGCAGAGAAGGCCAATTCCATTACAGGAAAATATGGCAACTGCTGAATATAAACCTCTGACTCAAAATTTCTTTTTATTATCTGAAAATCTCTTTCTTTTTGGCTGAAATTTATTAGCTTACTGTGATAAGAATGACTCGCTCATACTACACAAAGCACTGTAGAAATCTTAAGACTGATATTTTAAGTAAAAATAATTATTGCTTTGTCACAGTTTATTTAGTAGACAAAAGTTTTCAAAATCTGCAGTACATAAGGAAAATAAAATGATAGAACCATCATGATCCACAACTATGAAAACGCAAGTCTTTAAGTTCAGAAACTAAAATCATTGAATGAAGGTATAAAATTGGCTGGAATTTATCACAATAGTTTGCGACAACTGCTCATGAGCTCTATAATGATAACGAAAATTATCGGGCTGACCTGAATTTCGTCCCAGATGTCTTCATCCAGCAAAGTAGCTGCTCTATGGTGCTGCAAAGGGACTATCAGACAGTGCCCCTCAGTGAGAGATCGGAAGTTGGGTAAACATAAATAAACCTATGGGGAAAAATTCAAAGGTGAAACGTTACTACTATTGAGTCTTGGTTGTAACAGATGAGCTCCTAGTAGGGAAAAATGGCTAATATTTAATAAAGTATACTTGCTTATAAAAATGTTTTTTATTTTAATATTTTTAAAGATATTTAGTATTTTTAAATATTGTAAAAGCCATAACGATGGCTTTTAATAAACTGGAAATTTAGAGTACACAAATCTCAATTCTCACTGTTATTCATCAAAGATTAAGATTAGCCAAGGAAGGGCAGAATGAATGATACTTTATCCTTAATCTGAAGGAGCTCTATTTTTTGAAAACCTTTGAAACAACACAATTTTCACAAGAATAAAAAGGCACATGGCCTGGTAATGGTAGAGTAGTCCAGCTGATGATGCCTATTAATCAGGCATTCCTTCTCTCATTAAGCTAAGAAAAGAGAATTAACCCAGCTAAGAAGGAAAGGAAATGACCTCAGAATGGCTTTACTGCTCTGTTTATTTGCATTCACATAAAAGCTGGTGCTATTTTTCCATTATACGCAAACTGTCTTTAACCAAAAAAAAAGGCTAACTAAAATGTATGCAGTGAACAAAAAGGTTTCATGAGGAGCATAAATAATATTCTGCAAAGAGATTTCATCTTATTTTCTACTATATTTTGTTAGGTTTTAACTAGAAATATTTTGCATGGGAGAACATTATTTATTT